GCTATGCGATCGCATTAGCGATCGCAAAAGCGTCCTCGTAGAGCGAATTCATCGCTCTATGAGGTGCTCGTTGTGCAAGGCACCACTGTATTTCTGACCTGGATAGCTTGGTGAGTTAAATCCCCCATTGTACCTCCTACAATAAAAGTCAGTCTACATAGCCTTGGGCAAGCTGCACAGTCTCCCAGGGTGCCCCTAGAAGAAGTGTCCCTAGAAGAAGGGAGTGGCAAACCACTTCTTGAGTATTCTCTACCTGGGAAACCTAGAAAGGGTTGCCACATATTTGAATCCACTTCTCAACACACAATTATTGTTAACTATTTTGATTTGAGGGTATTCAAGCAATATTATCTGATGAAAGACAAGGTTAAGCTGGTGATAATTTGATGAGACTGATCTCCCTTCATGTTAAATTATAATGGTGCACTACTTCTGAGTATTCTTTACCTGGGAGGATAGCTGTAGTTTGAATTGATCTGTCACCATATAATTATTAGCAACACGATTCTATAGAACTGCTGGATAGTTCAGTGGTTTAGGTATCTGACTGCAAAGCTAGAGTTTGAGAGTTCGATTCTCCACTGTGCCTCCTTGACAAGGGATGGACTTGATGATCCATAGGGCCCCTTCCCATTCTGCCATTCTAAGACAATGCCTATGATTTACAGCTGCTTTTCTTGTTAGGCAAAATTGTGTGGCACCTAATTCTTGGCAGCAAATGCAGTATCCATGTGTAACCTGTAAACATGCGCAATTAAGTTGTTTCGCCAGATAAAAGATTATCAGTTTGGCACTCTCTTCACTGGGATTCTGGTTCACCCCTCTCATTCCTCCCTGTACTATAAATTTCTTTTTGTTTTGCTCGGTTTGGGGACTTGCTTTGTTAAATTATTTAACCAGAGAGTTTGTTTTGCACTTTGGAAAATCGCCAAACTGTTCTGCATATTGTTATGAGTATTTTCTTGCATTTTTATCTTTCTACGTGTAACTTCATTCTTGTTCTTTCGGCCGTCAGCAACTTTGGATAGCCACTGTTAAAAAGAGAAGCCAGACAATGAAGTTTTCAAGTAAAAAACCTAAAATGTTTTGCATCTCTTGTGCTCTTGAGTTATCACACCATGGATTCCGTAACAATGCCAAGAATGTCTCACACTTCTTGTGAGGATTTCAGTTCATTTTGGTGGGTTTATCAATATACATACTCCTTTGGCCTTTGCACTTTTTCTATTTAAACAACTGGGGGGCGGGAGGAGAGAGAAGGCATATCTTGGTTTTTCATTAACATAAATGATTAATTTATCTTCTCTTTGGCCACAAATAAGCTCGTCAACCCCTCCCACAATCTCTGTCTCTGACTACCCCTCTCCCCCTCCTCCTCGGGAATTATAAACTTCATAAGAACTAGTATGCCTGCCTCAGTTCTCTAAGTGACAAGCCCAGAAAAAAGTGATTTTTCCCCTTTCACTAATTCTGTTAAGCAAGTAGCTTAAAGCTTTTTTTCTTATTTTTCTTTTGGCTACCTAGACCAGTTGGTAAAGACCCAAGACCATGAGGAAGAAAGCTAAGCGTGGATTACTTGAGGTAATACTGATTCCAAGATCCTTACCGGACTTCCAAATTGGGATTTATGTCCAAAATCTGAATTACAGTGCAGGCCTATGCATGCTTACTGAGAAGTAAAACCCACTGTGTACCATGTGACCAATTCCCAGGTAAGTGGGTAATGGATCGCAGCCTTCCTTACTAACAATTATCACTGAGATCATTCATATTACAGGCAAGAGTGCAACTTTACCATTAGCAGTGTACTTGATGTACTAAAGAAATTCTGTTTTTGCCTCCAAGAACCAGGACTGAAGAACTAGCAAACAGCAGAAAGGAAATGGTCCCTCAGACTTGTTTTTTTTTGCATCTGTGGAATGTATCTCATCTTGTGGTTAAACTGGGGTGTGGACGGATCTCATCCTCTAGTTCATTTATTACCTTCACTATCAAGTATCTATGGTAGCAGTTCTCGTTCTGCTTTATGGTGTTGTAGACATTTAGATGAAAGCCAGTTCTATGGGATCCCCTTATTTCTTTTGCTCACCAAAACCAAAATAGGACTTTGGTAGATCCCTTCAGGAAAAAAAACGAAGAAAAAAAACATGTGTAGGTTTAACAGCCAACGTGCTCTCTGAATTAGTTGTCATCAATATTTTATTCTAGGTTTAATCCCAATGTGTGTGTTTTGTTTAGAAACTTCAGCTTGTATCCAATCATGTTTTGGGATAATGCATCCTGGGATTTAGGCAAAGCATTTTTGTACTAGTTGCTACCACTTCGTGCTAGTTAAGCACATATCCTACTGGAATTTTTTCCAATCTACCACATTTCTTTCTTTCTCCCTCCCTCTCTCTCTCAAAAAAAATCACAATTTCTTGAAGAAATAGATGAAAGGTCTTTCAAAAAACTTAAAGAAATACTTGAAGGAAACCTCCAGAAGTCCTTAAAAACCTCTAAAACGATCTTGTCTGCCTGATCTCTCTCCCTCCTGCCCCAGCACTAGCAGATTAGAACTAAATTGAAAAGTCCTGATGGCAGTGAATATCTCCTGGTAATCCATCTAAGAGGACAGCTGCCTTCAAAAATAAATAGGGTTTCATACTTCTGAAAACTCTAGAAATGACCTTCTACTGGATTTTTGCTTTGGATGTTATTGGGGCTGTTCATTTAAGTGGAGAAGTGAGATACTGATGCTAGGGGGAAAGGGTCCTTGACTTACAGGTTCTTTTAGCTTTTGTCTTTCTGCTTCCAGTATTAAGCCCTTCCAAACTGCTGCCAGTCTTGCAGGGTGCAACACTAGTGTTGTTGTCTCTATGGTACTTCTAGAAGATTAATAGGAGTATTACTTATCGGAGTGCCTTTTCCCAAGGGCATCTACTCATGCTGCCAGATTCTCCCAGGCAATGCTCCTTCGGGCGGCCACTCCAAATGAGGCCAGAAAATAAACTACGAGGCCTTCTTGGTACTGGCACCAACATTTTGGAACTAGTTCCCAGTTGATCTGTGCCTGGTTCCTTCCCCCTTAACCTTTAGGAGATTGCTGAAGGTGTTGCTCTTCCGGGAGGGAGGCCTTTCAATGCAACCCTGCTTGACTTTCTTTGCCTTATGCTCTGGCTCTGATGTGGAAATATTATGCCTTCTTGACTGCATGGTTGAGTTAATCTTCCTGCATAATTTGTTTTATTTTATGATTTTATTGCTGTTTGCTTATGGTTTATTTCATTTCACTTTGTTATAAACTGCCCAGAATAGTGCATTGCACTAATAGGATAGTACAGTATATGCCTTAAACAAGCAAACATTTAGACTGGACAAGCTGTGCAAAAGCTTCTTTTCTAGCATTACTGCTCTGAGCCATTTGAGGAACCAGCAGGAAAATTATTGTTTATGTCTGTTGTTCATTGTTTATTGTATATTGTTGATATTTTTATTTGATATATATATGTTATTGTATTTTTGCATGTTTGGAAGCCGCCTAGAGTGGTCATATTGACCAGATAGGTGGGGTATAAATAAAATAAATAAATAAATAAATAAAAGCAATCATCTCTTATACATGGATGACCTAAAACTATATGCCAAAAGTTCCACGGAGATAGAATCACTACTAAACACAGTGGAAATATTTAGTGAACATATCCAAATGAAATTTGGAAATGACAAATGTGCAGCTCTGTCTATACACCGTGGCAAGATCCAAAAACTAGATGAAATAGAGTTTAAAAAATGGCAAAATTATAAAATCACTATCAAGTGATGAAAATTATAAATACAGTGGAATACTAGAAGCGGATAACATTGTGCACACAAAAGTTAAAGAACTGAGAGAAAGGGAATATATCAAAAGACTGAGAAAAATCTTAAAATCAAAATTAAGTAGTGGAAATACTGAGTTAGAAAAACACAGATTCCAATGAACATGCATCACACACTATATCCAAAAAGGGATGTGGACAGATTATATTTACCACAAAAAAATCAGAGGCGGTAGGATTACTGCAAATACAGCAGTTAGTAGAGGAGGAAAAAAGAAGCCAAGCAGAGAAGAATTAGTTAAGGCAGTTTAATAATAATCATAATAATCATAATGATCATCATCATCATCATCATCATCATCATCATCATCATACATTTGAACTGAAATGCTGGAAGAGACCCTATGGATCATCAAGTCCAGCCCATCAAGGAGGCACCGTAGGGAATTGAACTCCCAACACCTAGGCCAACTGAACTATCCAGCTGTTCAATCTTTTATTGATAATTGCTCCTGGCTGTTGTTATGGGTAAGCATGCAGTCTTGAATATTTGGATAGTGTCTTTCATCTCAGAGGTCCATAATGTGCCGAACTGTCAAGAGCCCTGTTGAGATTTACAGGGCAAGTGTAACTGTGCATGGTGCTGAACTATGTTTTTGGTTATGCATCAAGTCATGCACCCGGTAAATGACCAGGAATGGTAGCAGAAATTCATTAATTGGTGGCAATTTGCCACAGGGCTATAACTAGGGCAAAACAACTAGAACTTTGCCCCAGGGAGCCACATTAAAGGGGTACAACCCCTTCCCCCAGACTTTCAGCATTGACCTGATAGACTGGTCTATTGACATCAGAAAACATGTTAGAAAAGGCTTCCCATGTGAATTTTTGACAAGCCAGCAGGGAAAACAAAAGAAAGGTGATTGATATACCAGGCTTCACTAAAGCACGAGTGGTGTATCCAGAAGGAGTGGCGTCCAGATGGAAGGCTAGTCTCACTGGACCATGGGGAAACCAGGCCTTTCATTTTGGAGGGCATGTCTACTTGGCTCTCAGTGGACCCGGCTGTTGGGATGGACAATAAAGAAGTCAGATTATTCATATATATATGGTATGCCAAACTACACATACAGAGAGACAGACACAGACACATGCACCCCTTATTTGTTTCTGTGGCTCTGGCAGTATTGCTGAGGAAGGGTGATTCTGACATCCTAGACTACTGACTATGACATCATTGACTATTTTCACAGCCCAAATCACCACATTTTACTGCTGCTTTTCCTAGGTGCAAAAATGGCTTGTTACAGTTGTGATTTAGCACTGCAGTTTACACAGTGATACTTATACCTGCATAAATCCCTAATAGGGACCTTTACCTACATTGCCCTTGAACAAATTACCTTTAAGCAGAGCTTAGAAAAGCCATACTTCCAAGCTCTGTGTATTGTGCTCAATATTAGGTCACCTGCATCCATAAAAGGACACAGAATCAGGGTGCTACTGACCTGTTCCAGTTCAAGTATGTACTCCCCAGTGGTGTGTGATGCATGTGTATTATTCACAAAGCATATTACATTTGTAGAGGTAATGTTTAGTCTTGAGAAAAGAAGACCGAAGGGAGATAGGATAGCACTTTTCAAATACTTGAAAGGTAGTCATACAGAGGATGGGCAGGTTCTGTTCTTGATCATCCCAGAGCGCAGGGTACGTAATAATGGACTCAAGCTACAGGAGGTCAGATTTAGGCTGAATATCAGGAGAAACTTCCTATTAGAAAAGTCTTTCGTTCTGAACTGGGAGGTGGTGAGCACTCCAACACTGGAGGCATTCAAGAGAAAATTAGACAACCATTTGTCAGATTTGAATTCCTGTTCTGAGCAAGGGGTTGGACTCGACGGCCTTATAGGTCTTTTCCAACTCCATTATTATTTGATTCAATGATTCGATTATGCTCCATCCCCAACCATTATTCCATAAATGAGTCCTCCTGTTAGCTAAATCTTGATATATATACTGGGACATCCAACCATGGCTGTTATTTTAGAGAAGGGTGGTGGTACTGTGATCACATGCGTCTGCATCAGTGAGTTGTGTAGTACAACACATGGTGGATGAAGAAGTATATAAAAGAGCAAAGATGGGTACCAGCACAGCCATTAGGCAGCCATCTCAGGGTATCTTGGGTGTCATCTGACCCAAATGGGTGGATAGAGATGCCAGTTGCTATTCTGCTATTCTGCCCCAGACAGCAAAATATCTTGGGCCACGGCTGTGTGTAACATATAAGGAAATGGAAGTTAAAGGAGGAGGGCAAAATTAATCTGGAGATGATCCATGACTCCTGAATGTTCCTCATTTCATGAGGCAAGCCACATGCTCTTTCTGTTTTAGAACATTTTATTCTTTTCATTCATTGGCATTGTAAAATCCCAGGCAGAATGCTAGTTCTTTCGATATCTCTGTTGGGCCTCAGTCATAGAGAACATAACTCATAAATAACAGTCAGTGCAGAAGATCACCTTCTGTTTGTTCTAAAGCTCTGTTTTATCTCAGAATTAGCCTCCACCTAGATGGGCATTTCAACAAAATTGAATTTGATTTGACTTCCAGAGTGGCTAAAATATCACTCTGGAAGTCTGGATTTCTGAGCAAAGGCTGATGGTGTTGCCTTAGTTTTGGCACATCAGGGCTCATTTTTGGTACTGAAAACAGGGCCATCACTGTACAATGTAGAATCAAATATTATTCCCCCAGACAGTATTTGATCATTTGGCTCAT